TTGAGATGGTTTCATCCTTGTTGCCCAGGCTGGAGTGCAATGGTGTGATCTCGGCTCACTGCAGCCTGCGCCTCCCAGGTTCAAGCGATTCTCCTGCCTCAGCCTCCCAAAGTAGCTGGGATTACAGGCCCCTGCCGCCTTGACCGGCTAATTTTTTTGTATTTTTAGTTGAGACGGGGTTTCTCCATGTTGGCCAGGCTGTTCTTGAACTCCTGATCTCAGGTGATCACCCACCTCAGCCTCCCAAAGTGCTGGGATTGCAGGCGTGAGCCACCGTGCCCGGCCCATAGGTGCGATTGTTAAATTGACTTCTTAACATGTTGTACCGCGCCCGCCTGCTGTTCTTGGAATGTGGTGTCCCCTCCACAGTTCATGCTGAAACTCAGTCCCCTGAGCAACAGTGTTAAGAGGGGGCTTCGGGGGGCAATTAGGCGCCGAAGGCTCCACCCTCCTGAATGGACGAGTGGCTTTAGATTATGAAAGTTCACCACTTCTGTCCCGTCTGCCAGGTGAGACACAGCATTAAGGCGCTGTCTTGGAGGCAGAGAGCAGCCATCGCCAGGCAGCTGAACCTGTTGGCACCTTTTCTTTTGTTTGGCTTTTGAGACAGGGTCCTGCTGTGTCACCCAGACTGGAGTGCAGTCTGGCTCACTGCAGCCTCAGCCTCTTGGGCTCAAGCGATTCTCCCTCCTCAGCCTCCCGAGTAGCTGGAACTGCAGGCATGTGCCACCATATCTGGCTAATTTTCTCAATTTTTGGTTTGTAGAGATGAGGTCTTGCGATGTTGCCCAGGCTGATTGATCTCCAGCTTCTGGGCTCAAGCAGTGCTCCCGCCTTGGTCCCCCATGTGCTGGGATTACAGGAATCAGCACATAATTTAAAGCACATAATTCACGTAACATAAAATCCACTCTTTACGAGGTACAATTTGGTGGTTTTTAGGTTGCGCAACCACACCACAGTCTAATTCCAGAACATTCTCATAAACCCTAAATGAAACTCTAGGCTGGGCGCAGTGGCTCACACCTGTAAACCCAGCACTTTGGGAGGCCGAGGCTGGTGTATCATGAGGTCAGGAGTTCAAGACTAGCCTGGCCAAGGTGGTGAAACCCCGTCTCTACTAAAAATACAAAAAAAATTAGCCAGGCATGGTGGCACGCGCCTGTTGTCCCAGCTACTTGGGAGGCTGAGGCAGGAGAATCGCTTGAACCCGGGAGGTGGAGGTTGCAGTGAGCCAAGATTGTGCCACTGTACTCCAGCCTGGGTGACAGAGCAAGACTGAAACGCCAAAAAAACAAAAACAAAAACCCACCAAAAAAAAAAAAGAGAAACTCTATGCCCCTTTGCAGTCACTCCCTATTCCCCTTCCCCTCAGCACTCAGCAATCATTAACCTGCTTTCTGTCGCCCTGGATTTGCCTGTTCTGGACATTTCATTTAAGCAGAATCATATAACACGTGGCCTTTCATGCCTGGCGTCTTTTCACTGGGCATGATGTTTTCAAGGCTCATCATGTTGTAACATGTATCAGTACT